CAATAAATTAATAAAATTCAAAAGGGTGTGAAGTTATTGCTCAAATTAAATAATACAACGAGTGTCATCGGGACTATCGATAATGCACGAAAAATTAATTTTATACGTTGATGTGATTATCCATCGTCCTGATATTAAAAGTTGTATTCAATAGATTATATCACGAATTAATAATGACAGCTCAATAATTTACATTTCAAAATCAATGTCAAAACCTGACAAGCTTGTCTACTAGATCTTTATATCCTTAATGTACCAATATGATTAGCCATTAATCAAATACATGTGTATGATTATCGATTAATTAATAATCAACTAAAAGTATATGAAATTATTACATTTTGTGAGTGATATCAACACAAAGAGCGGATGGATTTGATATTAGTGACTACCACATCTGCGAATTTAAATTTAGTTGAATTTTAGCACCCGATGAACTGTTGATGAATAAAAATACAATTTTGATGAATATTGTATGGCATCGATGAATATTATAAAATATCTATAATTAAATTAACTTTAGCCCTTATCAAAATCACGCTTTGATTTCTTCAAATCGCTGACAAATTATAGCTATTTATACAACCAGTTACAAAATACCTTATTTTATGTAACGAGTGAATATTTTCGGGACGAACAGAGCGAGGTCCCGCGGCATGAACGAGTTACACAAAACGACATTTCGTAACGTATTACATACAAAGATTTTTACTTCCAATCAAAGATTTTATAAAAAGAATATTTGGAAAATTGTAGAGAAAAAATGTGACATTTTATATAAATTGATTTATTTGAAAGAACAGAGTTATTTCAAATATTTGAAATCAAAAATCAAATATTTATATTTTCGCTCACTTAAGGATTATAATTATTGTATATATGCAACTAATATTACGTTTGTATTGTTAGTTGCATAACTTGTAACTGACATAGGCATATTGGCATATATTATTAAGAAAATGATAAATAAGAATTATTCTCAACCACTTATTTCTTGTTATAGCTTGTTAATTTTCAAGAACGTGAGTTATTTTGTCTTGTATTTAGCGAGAGTGGATCATTGTTTTCCATTTTTTTTGTGCAGATTTGGGATATAAAATAGGAACCGAAACAGAAAAATTACTAGGTTGTACGTTCAATAACAAACTGTATTTTTACAAAGCTCTACCTTTATACCTTCGATATAAATTTTCAAATTTTTAAAACCAAAAAAAGTTTTTTAGTTTTCTTTTTGCAACTGGTAACATTAATTTTTCGTAACCAGTTTCATAATATTCAACTTTATATAATTGGATACATAAAGTAGATCGTTTTGACACTCTTTATATGTCAAAATTAAAAAATATTTTCCTGGTTTTTTTTTATGAAATCGATATAATAACATGTAAAGGTTATACGCATATCGTCTATATGTTTTAAATAATAATATGTTATGTAATTAATATATTTTCACTTTCAAAATCGGACTGTGATAATTCAAATGGCCACTTATTCTTTTGTTGACATTCCAGTTCTTAAGACCTTCCTCAACCTATGAAGCGCATTAAATTCGTATAAACAATGACAGTGTTGTATTGTAGCTGTGGTACATAGACTATCATGATTACGAAACTTCTTTCAATATTTAGAGGACCTGTTTGTACAGGTTACGTTTATAGTACAGCTTAAACGTTAGTTAAAACTTCAGTTTAATCTTAAGTTTGCTCTGAGAAACTTGAAAATGTACCTTTTGTAAGTGCCTGTTAAACTATTTGTGGCTAACTTCATCCCACCTAGACTGAGTAGGTATTCTTATGCAAATGTATGTCAATTTGTTCGAATAATACTTTCACCGAAAATGTCTTGGTCCTTTTCATTTCTTAATGATATTTAAAATTATATACTTCTTTATTATAAAACAAAATGTCCATAAATCAAACTGTCAGGAACACAGGTCTGCAACCAAAAAACTGTATGGGATTTTTGACTGTTTCTTATAGATTTTTTCTCATTGAAACCAGGATAAATATTAAAAAAAAAATCATCTCGTCAGGTTTTCTTGCAAAACTTAGAAGCCTATAATGAAGAGCAGGGTGAAAGATTTTAAAAGGATAGCCGTGATTTCGATATAGACCTTACCAAGGAAGATGGTAAGTCAACACGCTAGCTGATTACTGAATGTTCAGGAGAGAAACAGAAGATGGAAAGTGGATGCGTCTTTGGAGGAGCATCAAAGAAAAACAAATAAAGTTTCTTAGACAGAAAGAGTAAACCTGTACCTGTAGTGTTATATATGTCATGAAGGAATAGTTTTTTAATTATTAGAAAATTATGCATACCTAAGTAATTGTAATAAAATATTTTTTCATCGCTGTTTTGATTTTTAATTGAATGTAAACTTTCCAAGTTTTGCAAAAAAGCTGTACGTAATGAAAGGAAATGAAGGTCATTTTTGGATTCAGCACAATATAAAATTAAATTTTACAAACCCATATGCAGCTTATTTTTTTTTGTAGATCTGTGTAATAAATTTTGGGGTCTATTCTGTAAAACATCCGTTAAAATTTAGAGGCATTTCAAAATTTAACTTTCAGCGGTCCGTTAATTTGTTTAATCAAAAATGGTATTCTGTATACATAAATTTTAGAGGCCTGTTAAAAATTATTTATTTTAACCACATTTTAACGGAGTCCCTTAAAAATGACAGGAGAATACTTGACAGCATCGCATTTAAGATTCATTTGAACTAATTTTGAAGGATTAGAAGATTGAAGACATAACCATACAAATCCTAAATTTTAATTCAAAATGTGTATCGTGTTCAAAACCAAAACATGCCTACATACAATAAAAATAAAAAATGTCTCGTGCACCAAGAACAACCAAAAACCAGAAAGAGTGGATGATAACCTTCTTAGAACAGCAAAATGATTATTATTAGAAGACTATTTTAAAGGAATCCGTTTAAATAATGACAGCAGTAAATTAGCGAATACGAAAATATTTTTAAAGGCCGCCAATATTTTAACGGCCGTTAAACTATAAAGGAATTGTTACAGAATAGACCCCAAAATGAATGAAAACAAAAACAATGACATTGATAGAAACATCATACGCTTTGCGCATGTGTTTAACTGAAACTCGTAGTTTAACTGTACCTGTTGCTTTATCTACCGCTTGATTATTAAACTCCGGATGACGGGAACATTCACCTATAAAAAAACTTTGTTGCTTCTAAACTTAGGTTTAACGTTTAACTGTAACCAGGAACTTGTTAACTGGATCCTATACAACTCGCCCTAAATCTAATTTCGGGAAACCTACTTTTAATAGATTTTTTTAATTCTAACCAGTCCCCGTCTTTGGAAAATAAAACCGTTCTCGTTGTATTTTGGTAATTTTGACAGGCATTCCTGACATTACAATAACAAACATTACCCATTTTGAGAGCAGCCAATTTGTCATTAAATAAGACTACCTCTTAGTTGAAGCCATAAAACCAAATATCTTATAATTCTTCATTAAGATAATATTAATAAAATTACGAAAAAGTGCCTAAAAATAATTTTTGCTGATAATAGTAGTTTATGTATAAGGACGAAAAGTTGAATTTTACGGGCGACTACGTAGGAGTCCGAAAATACACTTTTCGTCCGTGTTTCATAAATTATTTTTTATTCGAATGTGCTTATAGATATTAAAAAAATATAGAAAATTAAATCCAAATAATTAGGCTTTCCAACGACTTGTCAAAATGCTGCCAGTGAGATCTGACAGTTTAGATATGGCAACCTGTGGGCCTGTTGTCATTGACAGGGTCAATGTTATATATATATATATAGTTATATAGATTGCTCAAAGCGGGTCGTTTGCGAGCGGCCATATTGCCTGACAAGTGTTCATTAATTTGAATAGATTTAGCAAAAATGTGTTTTAAAACAAATTCCATATCATAACTTATCATGTGCCCGTCAGTGGCCTGTCATTACCTACGGGCAACCATTTTGTTTGGAATGCCTAATATTATTTACATATTTTCTTATGACTGAGATGGCTGTGATCGCTAAGAATGACTAGGTAGGTATAATAGCATTTGAACAATTGCTGTCATGTTAGTGTACTTATGTCAAATTATACTTTAATTAGTTTTTCTCTTATTCAAATAAAAAAATTTCTATTTAAATTTGATGAACAATTAGATTATGGACTACTATTTTACAATAGGAAAAAATATCGGCAGCAGTATTAAATGGTAAATCCAAAATAAAACAGCCTGTTTAGATAGCGGAGCCGCTTTACTTTTGCGGCCTGGGCCCTAAAAGTACTTTTTAGTAGTTCATTTCTAGTATATTTAAAAGTTCTCCTTTTTGATTATGTTTTCTGTCCGAAAAACGACGTTTAATGTCACATTCGAATAAAAAATAAATTATAGCCTTAAATATCTTTCAATCACAAAAAAATATATACATTTCTTTTTAACCAAATTAAAACTATCTACAGCAAATAATAATCTTTATTTATTTTTGTTGTCATTTCACCTAAAAAACAAATTGACTAACTAGGTACCCACATTATTTTATAATTTATTGAATGAAGGATTTAAGATTTTGGCTGGTATCTATTTTAAGACATGAAGAGATTTGTAAATAAAAATTTTGTGTAATGTCGATAGGAAAATCGCTGTGTATTTATTAGAAGTTATTTATATCATTAGTAAAAAATAAATATTCAAATGAATAATAATGCATTTTATTACTTCCTTTTACCATATTCCTAAATATACGTAATTCACAGTACGCAGGTGTTATGTTGGTTGCCTACACTTTGCTACACATTTCCATTATTAAATTAAAAAAACTATCGAACTATTCAATAAATAAAACGTTTAAAAAAAATTATTTATTCTATTAATAATAGATAATAAACTAATATGGATAACATTGTGGCCCTCATAGAAAAATGCCGGCCCTGTGTTCGGTTCTGTCTAGTTATTTGATTAAATCCATCAAATGTTGGTTCTCCTGTGTGTCAAATGTCAAATATTCTAGTTCTGCGACGAATGTCTTCTTGTCTTCTCTAATTTTAAATTAAATCTCGACCTTTGGGCACTTCAGTTCCGCATACCTCCCACCTGCATTTCGTTTCCTTCTCCTACTTATTTTATATCTAAGATCCATCCAATCATAGATCTGTGAATCCAATCATATGTGAATCCAATCAAAACCAATCCAATCATTGAATCGGCTCCATTTGTTTTAACCTCAAAAAATAAACGCATGCGTAGCGAAGCCTTTAAAATTTAAAACTTGTTTGGGTGTGAAAAAATGGTGAGGAATGTTGTTGTAAGGATATATTCCTATTATTCGTATCAACATTCTATATAATTTTAATTTTCCGGTGTTGAACAAGAACAAGTAAATGATAGACTATTATAGTTCGTTAATAAGTTAAAAAGTGTTTGTTTTGAAGTTTACCAATTTTTTTATTTAATATTTTTTGTAAGTTTTTTTATTCCGTTTACAAAATGAATAAAGAAGCACCGAAAACTATACTGGAAATGAGCAGTTGCGGTAAGTAATCTCGTTTTTTAATTACAACAGTCAAGTTATTGTCATATCTCTAATACACATTGTACAAAAAACACAACTTTATACTTTGTTTTTTGCATAAACAGCAAAAATCATTGTACGAATATTTGAATTTCAGAATCCACAATGGAAATTGTTATGAAAAACATTTATACTTCTTGTGACCCACATAATTTGAATGAAGTCCGGACTTTTGAAATAATAGATTTCATAAGACCTTATATGCTTGAAGACCTGTAAGTATTTCTAAATTTAGACCATTTTAAGAGCCGGTTATATTTCACATTCATCAAAATGAAATCGAAAGTTGTTATTGTTGATATAATATAATGAACCTGTCTAGCTAGCAGTTATACTTACCATTATTTTGTTTACTTTAGAGGAATTTATAGAATTTTGTGAGTCATTATTTTTTAAACTGCATTCTTTATATTTGTTTGAAGATTAGCTCTAGAAACAGATACAAAGTGACAAGTGCTTAAAATGCTTATTTTTGTATAAATATTGTTAATTCTAAATTTGTCTTATGATAATACATATACTTAAGAGGAATATGTAGAAATCCCATTCTTTAACATTATTGTCAGTAAATAACATAAAGTAATCAAAATTGCTGGCATAACTAACATCTGAAAAACTTTTGATATTGTATTTATAAATTTGGCCTGCACACATTAGATGAATGTTTCATATTTGATTCTAACTTTTACAAACACTCCCAATGAATCTAGCATATATGTGCTTTAATTTTTTTCTCTGTATTGTAAAATGATTGTGAATCATTTGGTTCATACAAATAAACTAATTTTCTCATAGAAATTTTAAATAAAAATAAATATCTTTCATTATCTAGTTTGACTAACCTCTTTTCACTTATGAAAAAAACTAAGCATACACACTTGTAGGTGTCACTATTCACTATTATGAACAAAAAATCTTAGTTCCATAATTTTGTATAAATTAATAATAATGGCACAATGAATTTTGTAAAATAAAGGTGTTTAACAAAATGTCTCAAATCAAAGCTGATGTTGCCAAGTCACACAAAAATTTTACTATCTCATTATAGTCAGTAGTACAGTAATTAATTTTTAATAATTTTCTTTGCCCTAAGAATATTTTATTGACATTGTTTTACCAGCACCCGTATTCACTCCCTTTCCCATAAAACTATTAATAATAATTGAAAAAATTACAAATTTGTATTTGAAAGAATTGTTTTTGCACAAGATATGGAACTTTAGATTTTTAATAGTGATACTCACAAGCAAGTATGCTTAGTTTTTTCATAATTGAAAAGAGGTCAGACTAGATATTTATCCAAATATCTTTTATGCAAAATAGTAAATGTAAAAAAAGTGTTTCTCCTAATAGTGATATGAAATACTGTGTGATGTTTAGTTTCCTTAAAAATGTCAGCTAATTCAACCATAAAATTAATGATAATTTTATTTTAATGTTTTCTCCTTGAATGCAAATAGTGTCTAGAATATTAATTAAATGTATTCTCTATAGTCTCACTTGTAAATGTTATAATATTTGAGACGTTAAAGGTCAAATAAATATGAAATGTAGGATATTAAAAATTCTTAAGAGCAACCTCTAATTCCTTCTGAGCCTTTATTTTTAGTCCGATTTTTGGGAAGTTTTCTGGAAATACCAATAATAACATAACTTAGAATGAAGAAACCTTGAATTTTTTTTAAACCTTCGAAAAGTATTTATTTTGAAAAATTTTAAATGGAATTTAAAAAAATTGCATGTTGTGTATTTTTATAAATAGCAGTTTTTTTCGAAAAGCTTTATAGTATATCAAAATCCAAAAAGAGACTAAAAATGTGGCATAAGTAATTGTTTTTATATAAAAAAACCAAGGTGCTCTTTTGAATTTGTTCCAACAAAGCAATCTGTATTATTTAAAAATAAGCAATTTTATTAGAAAAGTTTTATAATATTTCAAAAGCCTAAAAATATGTTGAGGTTGTTTTTAAAAAAAAAAAGCTATACAAAAACGAGGTACCGGTGTGAAGTTAGTAGCCAAAAACTGGTAGCCCGTTTACCGAGTACTCCCGAACAATACAGTGGCCCGTTAAAAAGGGCAATACATACGTTTATTTCAATTTTATGTTTTAATTGAAAATTGAAGTCGTTTGTATTTTAAATGTTATTTTCCTTATATAAATAAATAAAAAAAATAAATACATGAAAAATAATACATTCATAATGAAATTTCTTAATATTCATATTATTAAAAATAAAATATCAAAGCAGAATTAATACCACGTATAAGTTTTAATACAAATAGTTACTGACCAAAAGCAGATTCGCTTAGAACCCTCGGAAGGGGTAGCAATCCCACCCCTATTTTAAAAAATAAATATTTGACGTACTTAAAAATTAGATATCAATTTGGGATTAATACCAAGTATACCTTTTATTGCAAGCAGTTACTGGCCAAAAGAAGAATCGCTTAGGACCCTCGCAAGGGGTAGCAATTCCACCCCCCATTTCAAAAAATAAATATTTGATGAACTTAAAAATAAGACATCAAGTTGGAATTAATACCAACTATACCTTTTAATGCAAGCAGTTACTGGCCAAAAGAAGAATCGCTTAGGACCCTCGTAAGGGGTAGCAATTACACCCCCATTTCAAAAAATAAATATTTGACGCACTTAAAAATGAGATATCAAATTGAGATTAATACCAAGTATACCTTTTAATGTAAGCAATTACTGGCCAAAAGCAAAATCGCTTAGGACCCTCGGAAGGGGTAGCAATCCCAACCCCATTTCAAAAAATAAATAATTGACGCACTTAAAAATGAGATATCAAGTTGGGATTAATACCAAGTACACCTTTTAATGCAAGCAGTTACTGGCCAAAAGCAAAATCACTTAGGACCCTCGGAAGGGGTAGCAATTTCACCCCTATTTTAAAAAAATAAATATTTGACGCACTTAAAAATGAGATATCAAGTTGGGATTAATACCAAGTATACCTTTTAATGCAAGCAGTTACTGACCAGAAGGATAAATGCTTAGGGCCCTCGGAAGGGGTAGCAATCCCACCCCCATTTCAAAAAATAAATATTTGACGCACTTAAAAATGAGATATCAAGTTGGGATTAATACCAAGTATACCTTTTAATGCAAGCAGTTACTGGTTAATAGCAAAATCGCTTAGGACCCTCGGAAGGGGTAGCAATCCCACCCCTATTTTAAAAAATAAATATTTGACGTACTTAAAAATTAGATATCAATTTGGGATTAATACCAAGTATACCTTTTATTGCAAGCAGTTACTGGCCAAAAGAAGAATCGCTAAGGACCCTCGGAAGGGGTAGCAATCCCACCCCCATTTCAAAAAATAAATATTTGACGCACTAAAAAATGAGACATCAAGTTGGAATTAATACCAACTATACCTTTTAATGCAAGCAGTTACTGGCCAAAAGAAGAATCGCTTAGGACCCTCGTAAGGGGTAGCAATCCCACCCCTATTTTAAAAAATAAATATTTGACGTACTTAAAAATTAGATATCAATTTGGGATTAATACCAAGTATACCTTTTATTGCAAGCAGTTACTGGCCAAAAGAAGAATCGCTTAGGACCCTCGCAAGGGGTAGCAATTCCACCCCCCATTTCAAAAAATAAATATTTGATGAACTTAAAAATAAGACATCAAGTTGGAATTAATACCAACTATACCTTTTAATGCAAGCAGTTACTGGCCAAAAGAAGAATCGCTTAGGACCCTCGTAAGGGGTAGCAATTACACCCCCATTTCAAAAAATAAATATTTGACGCACTTAAAAATGAGATATCAAGTTGGGATTAACACCAAGTATACCTTTTATTGCAAGAAGTTACTGGACAAAAGAAGAATCGCTTAGGACCCTCGGAAGGGGTAGCAATCCCACCCCCATTACAAAAAAATAAATATTTGACGCACTTAAAAATGAGATATCAAATTGAGATTAATACCAAGTATACCTTTTAATGTAAGCAATTACTGGCCAAAAGCAAAATCGCTTAGGACCCTCGGAAGGGGTAGCAATCCCAACCCCATTTCAAAAAATAAATAATTGACGCACTTAAAAATGAGATATCAAGTTGGGATTAATACCAAGTACACCTTTTAATGCAAGCAGTTACTGGCCAAAAGCAAAATCACTTAGGACCCTCGGAAGGGGTAGCAATTTCACCCCTATTTTAAAAAAATAAATATTTGACGCACTTAAAAATGAGATATCAAGTTGGGATTAATACCAAGTATACCTTTTAATGCAAGCAGTTACTGACCAGAAGGATAAATGCTTAGGGCCCTCGGAAGGGGTAGCAATCCCACCCCCATTTCAAAAAATAAATATTTGACGCACTTAAAAATGAGATATCAAGTTGGGATTAATACCAAGTATACCTTTTAATGCAAGCAGTTACTGGTTAATAGCAAAATCGCTTAGGACCCTCGGAAGGGGTAGCAATCCCACCCCTATTTTAAAAAATAAATATTTGACGTACTTAAAAATTAGATATCAATTTGGGATTAATACCAAGTATACCTTTTATTGCAAGCAGTTACTGGCCAAAAGAAGAATCGCTAAGGACCCTCGGAAGGGGTAGCAATCCCACCCCCATTTCAAAAAATAAATATTTGACGCACTAAAAAATGAGACATCAAGTTGGAATTAATACCAACTATACCTTTTAATGCAAGCAGTTACTGGCCAAAAGAAGAATCGCTTAGGACCCTCGTAAGGGGTAGCAATCCAACCCCCATTTCAAAAAATAAATATTTGACGCACTTAAAAATGAGATATTAAGTTGGGATTAATACCAAGTACACCTTTTAATGCAAGCAGTTACTGGCCAAAAGCAAAATCACTTAGGACCCTCGGAAGGGGTAGCAATCCCACCCCTATTTTAAAAAAATAAATATTTGACGCACTTAAAAATGAGATATCAAATTGAGATTAATACCAAGTATACCTTTTAATGTAAGCAATTACTGGCCAAAAGCAAAATCGCTTAGGACCCTCGGAAGGGGTAGCAATCCCACCCCCATTTCAAAAAATAAATAATTGACGCACTTAAAAATGAGATATCAAGTTGGGATTAATACCAAGTACACCTTTTAATGCAAGCAGTTACTGGCCAAAAGCAAAATCACTTAGGACCCTCGGAAGGGGTAGCAATTTCACCCCTATTTTAAAAAAATAAATATTTGACGCA